TCCAAACTCGAAGTGAAAATGATTGAATTTTTAATTGAAATCAACCATGACGCACCTCAATAGTCCCACCATGCAGTATGGAATCGACGGTACATGGAGCCGAAACCAGGATACACACTGGAGCAACTATGGGCTGATTCCGAGCCTGCCATAAGCAAGAAAACGTCCACGTCATGTGAAGTCCAAACAAATGACGTCTTGCGTGCAGTAGCGGCCATTCAGCATCTCTCATCCCCCACGCCACCTGATAGCCCCTTCCTAAGAGCGTTAGGGACAACAGCTGCTCTCAAGGCCCCACCGCAGACGGACACCCTGGCGCAAAGAGCCCTAGAAGAATGGGAACGCACTGTGTGTGAGAATACAAGGCAGTGGCAATCCTCGCCGAGATCCAAGCTGGCCGACCGACTATAATCCATAAAGATGGGGGCGAAATGCTCATTGCCATTGTCCTTGATCGGCCACTGGCGGAAGCGAAAGCATTAGTGGATGACCCTGCGGCATTCACTCGCGAAATGACGCGAATCCTGCGCGACAAACAAACCCACCCGCTTATCGCTCAAATGATGAAACCAGCGGCAAGCAGGGGGCAGTCGTGGAGCACCCTTCGGCGAAGGTACCTTAAGCCCCCTTCGAAGGTACCTTAAGCCTTTGCCGAAGGGGGGACGGGGGGGGAGGGGGGGGGTGAACGAGGAACCGAAGCCCCCTTAAGGTACCTTAAGGGGGCTTCGAAGGCTTCGAAGGTATCTTAAGGGGGCTTCGAAGCCTTCGAAGGTACCTTAAGGGGGCTTCGACGAAGGTACCTTAAGGGGTCTTCGCCGAAGACTTCGAAGGTATCTTAAGCGGGCTTGGACGAATTCTTCGAAGCCCCCTTAAGGTGCCTTCGAAGCCTTCGAAGCTCCCTTAAGGTACCTTAAGGTGGCTTCGAGCGTTGAAGCCTTGGCTGAAGCCTTTGAAGGTACCTTAAGGGAGCTTCGAAGGCTTCGAAGGCACCTTAAGGGGGCTTCGAAGCCTTCCTCAACGGACCTTCAAATTCAATTTCTCAAGCTCCCCCCTTAAGGTACCTTCCTGAAGGGCCTCTCACCGACTGCCTGGGGGCAGTCGTGTGGAAGGCAAGAGAATTAGATTTCAGATCATGGTATTGTGGAAGGCAAGGGGGGAAGTTTAAATAAAAGTTAGAATTTAGATCATGGCATTGTCGAAGGCAAGGAGGGGGAAGTTTAAATAAAGAGTTAGATTTTAGATCATGGCATTGTGGAAGGAAGGCAGGGGGATGAAATTGAAACAAAGAGTTGGAATTTAGATCATGGCATTGTGGAAGGCAAGCGGGGGGAAGTTTAAGTTAGATTTTAGACCATGGCATGGTGGAAGGCAAGGGGGGAATTTAAATAAAGAGTTGGAATTTAGATCAGGCATTGTGGAAGGCAAGGGGGGAATTGAAGAGTTCGATTTTAGATCATGCCATTGTGGAAGGCAAGAGTGGAACTATAAATAAAGAGTTAGATTTTAGATCATGGCATTGTGGAAGGCAAGGGAGGGGGAAGTTCATAAAAAGTCAGATTTTAGATCAATTTTAAAAGCAAGAGTTGGATTTTAGACCATGGCATTGTGGAAGGCAAGAGGGCGAAGTGTAAATAAAGAGTTGGAATTTAGATCATGGCATTGTGGAAGGCAAGCGGGAGGAAGTTTAAATAAAGAGTTAGATTTTACATCATGGCATTGTGGAAGGCAGGGGGGAAGTTCAAATAAAGAGTTGGAATTTAGATCATGGCATTGTGGAAGGCAAGGGGGGGAAGTTGAAATAAAGAGTTAGAATTTAGATCATGGCATTGTGGAAGGCAAGGAGGGAAGTTTAAATAAAGAGTTAGATTTTAGATCATGGCATTGTGGAAGGCAGGGGGATGAAATTTAAACAAAGAGTTGGAATTTAGATCATGGCATTGTGGAAGGCAAGCGGGGGGAAGTTTAAGTTAGATTTTAGACCATGGCATGGTGGAAGGCAAGGGGGAAATTTAAACAAAGAGTTGGAATTTAGATCATGGCATTGTGGAAGGCAAGCGGGGGGAAGTTTAAGTTAGATTTTAGACCATGGCATGGTGGAAGGCAGGGGGAAATTTTGAAGAGTTCGATTTTAGATCATGCCATTGTGGAAGGCAAGAGTGGAACTATAAATAAACAGTAGATTTTCAGATCATGGCATTGTGGAAGGCAAGGGAGGGGGAAGTTCATAAAAAGTCAGATTTTAGATTCAAGTTTTAAAAAACAAGAGTTGGATTTTAGATCATGGCATTGTGGAAGGCAAGCGGAGGGAAGTTTAAATAAAGTGTTTGACTTTGGATCATGGCATTGTGGAAGGCAGGGGAGGAAGTGTAAATAAAGAGTTGGAATTTAGATCATGGCATTGTGGAAGGCAAGGGGAGAAGTTTAAATAAAGAGTTCGATTTTAGATCATGGCATTGTGGAAGGCAAGGGGGGAAAATTTTAATAAAGAGTTAGAATTTAGATCATGGCACTGTGGAAGGCAAGAAGGGGGTGGAAGTTTAAATAAAGAGTTAGATTTTAGATCATGGCATTGTGGAAGGCAAGCGAATTAGATTTTAGATCATGCCTTCGACGAACGTACCTTAAGGCGGCTTCGAAGCCTTCGAAGGTACCTTAAGGGGTCTTCGCCGAAGACTTCGAAGGTACCTCAAGCCTTTGCCGAAGGGGGGACGGAGGGGGAGGGGGGGGTGAACGAGGAACCGAAGCCCCCTTAAGCTACCTTAAGGGGGCCTTAAGGTACCTTAAGGGGGCTTCGAAGGCTTCGAAGGTATCTTAAGGGGGCTTCGAAGCCTTTGAAGGTACCTTAAGGGTGCTTCGACGAAGGGAATCTTGAGCCTTTGCCGAAGGGGGGACGGGGGGGGAGGGGGGGGGTGAACGAGGAACCGAAGCCCCCTTAAGGTACCTTAAGGGGGCTTCGAAGGCTTCGAAGGTATCTTAAGGGGGCTTCGAAGCCTTCGAAGGTACCTTAAGGGGGCTTCGACGAAGGTACCTTAAGGGGTCTTTGCCGAAGAATTCGAAGGTATCTTAAGCGGGCTTGGACGAATTCTTCGAAGCCCCCTTAAGGTGCCTTCGAAGCCTTTGAAGCTCCCTTAAGGTACCTTAAGGTGGCTTCGAGCGTTGAAGCCTTGGCTGAAGCCTTTGAAGGTACCTTAAGGGAGCTTCGAAGGCTTCGAAGGCACCTTAAAGGGGCTTCGAAGCCTTCCTCAACGGAACTTCAAATTCAATTTCTCAAGCTCCCCCCTTAAGGTACCTTCCTGAAGGACCTCTCACCGACTGCCTGAAAACCACCCACTCATCCAAATGATGAAACCAGCGGAGAGTGGTGATCCACCCCCCGCCAATACCGCAGCTAGTAGCACCTGTAGCAGTGAAAAACCTCGCACCACCTCAGACGTGCAGTTTCTGTACTCGAGCCAACGTAGGGTACCTACGTTTCCCATTCATCATTAGCCTGTGACTCGACCTGGGTTGAGATGCTTTGTCACATGGGGTACCCATGGTTGACCACTACCCAGAGTGGCTGCCTTTGTAAGCATGCCGGCCAGCATGGACGGGAGGCGGTGAGGGGCGGTTATACTAAACTTTAAAGGTTTATTTTGTTCAATTGTTTGTGTTGCTTTACCTTAATTGTTGTATGGTAGTGTAGTGCGATGTCAAAGACATCTAGCCATGGTGCCCGTCGCCGTTTGACCTTCGTTCAACCAATCTTTCGACTGGCCAATGACTTTCACACCACCTCCCATGCCTTTCCTCGACCAAGGCTGCAACACGGTGAGTGTTAACTGAATGCCCAGAGGCCCAACGTCTACCGAACAACCTGTACACAGCTTAGCCTTTTAGGATGGAACGACCGACTCCTATCAAAGATGCTGCTGTCCATCGCCTTGCAACGTCCATTTCCCAACTGACCCTCTGCCAGGTCACTACCAGCGAAGTCGATGATGCCACCAAACTTCTAGAGAAGGCACGCCAGAAGCTTCAAGGCATACAAAGCATCCCATCCCAGAGGGTCAATTGACCTTGAAGCGGCCATACGCCAACTCCGTCAGATTTGCTGTATATTGGATAGTTGTACAATATCTGCCAGTTACGAAGTAACCCAAGCGCAGAAAGCCACACTGCAGCTTCATCATACAGCCAGAGGAGCCAGCACGTCATCGGAAGAACTCAATGCGCAGATATCACCACGCACTGATGACGAGCACAATCTCCCATCCCATGAAGACTACTGGCAGGAGCACTAGGGAGGTGACACTCCCCGCAAACCGCAATCCTGCTAATGCTGATGCAGGAAAAGATCAACTGAGCGGACTCTGAGGGTGCCGTGAGTGCCGTAGCCATTGCTGACTTTCTCACACTAGATCTGTTTCACTCTCCTGTTTCACTGCGGCAGTTTGTCTCACCACTTTCGTTGCGACCCGGCTTTGAAGGCTGCTCTTTGTGATCTCGGGGATCCTGGCTGGGGGAATCCCTGGTTTCCGCATTGAGCTTTTGTTGCTTCCCACACCCTCTGAAGAGGCCCAATGTGTTTTGTGGCGGGTTTGTTTGTTTTGTGTTTGTATGGGCCTGCGTCAACATGGCACAAAAGATGTCATTTTGCATGTAACGAGATGATACTAAGTGTGAATTGGCAACGGTATCGTGCAGTCCAACGCGGCTCTTTTTGCTAGTGGCGATAGCGATGTAGCTCAAGGGCCCTGATAGCCGAAATGGCAACAGACACTACATGTGACAACCTGGCCTTTACATGGAGTATCACATACCACAAATTGACACTCAACCTGTTCTTCAGGTGTCACATAGAAATATATACAGCTATGTCTGTACAGGGCATTGCGGAGAAAGAACGCAGTGGTGTTATTACTGCTTCTGTACTTTGTACATGCACTCTGCCAACACTCGAATTATGAAATCTGGTTTCATACTCTTTGTAAGGCAGTCGCTGATCATGGTGTGTGTTGCTATCCATGACAGCTTATCTCCTCCATTCGGATAGATGTCCCATGTTTTCGGTCATCATTCCAGTAGGATTCGTGAATACTTTGTAATTCGATGCCAAGTCTTTTGTCGCTCACCTTCGCCAGGATCTCGGAAGCCAAGTGGTCTGACAATGAGCGGCAATCTGTGAGGGCTAAGTGCGGTACGCAGCTCCTTGCATCAGTTTCCCATGTCCGCATGGATTTGATCTGGCCTTTGAGTTCTGCCAAGACACCTCTGAGCTTGTCCCCTGCTTCGAGACCATGCTGCAGTGAATACGTCTCAGCCTGGAGCGTGCTTCGACACACACGTCGGATCGTGGTAGAGCTGTAAGACAGAGGCATTACTCTGTACGTGTTGCAGCTACTGCTCTTGATCTCTGTGAGGTCTCCAAGAAAGTGACAACGTCCCTGTTGGGAACGGTAGTTCTGTTCATTGGAGAATGAAGCGTCAGTAATTGTGATCAGACCTATCTCATCCCATTTGAGATGTCCGCTTGGAAAACGAAGCCTTACCTGATCACCTTTGTGAGCAAGTTGTACAACTGCGTTTGCGTCGCACAAAGTGCTGACTGTGGCATTTTTGATTGAAGATTGTAGGCGGCTAACTCGGTATGCCAAATCTGGTCTTGTCTGGCGAGCAACCCAAGCGAGTGACCCGGTCACCGACCTAAGTCGTGTGGTGTCATCACCTGAAATCTTCTCACTGCCTGGACGGCCAGCGTCAATTGGAATTGGTTTGATCTTCCTGGTGTTATCGACGGTGTCGACGAAAATGTCTCCGTCACCTGAACGCGAAAACTGCTTTCCGCAATACCTGAACTCGTTCACTTCGGTGCTGCCGATGTTGAACTTATTCAGAAAACGTTCGATGACTTCCTTACCTTCGGGCAAGTAACAGTACAAAAGATCGTCAACATGTGTGCACATCAATGCGCATGTATCACCATCGCTCCCTGGAAGAAAATAAAGACCTGAGAAAAACTGTGATGCTTTCATGCCTTCTTTCTTGGCATCTCCATCCAATCGCAGCCAAAATCCGCGACCTGAGTCTGTGAGTCCATAGATTGGTACCCTTACGAGGTAAACAATTCCCTCGTCAACTCCTGGGATGCCACCCCGGGGTTGTCTCATCAGGAGTACCCGGTCCAAAGGTCGTCCTTGGAAATATGCTGATGTCACATCAGCCGAATGCAAGTCGAGCTCATGTGCTGCACACCAACAGCAAATGAGGTTGTGAACCTCAATGTCAGCTGTGGGGCTGTCTGACCTCAGACCGTCACTGCATTCGAAGTTTCCGCAGGAAACTAACCTGCTTTTGTATTGTGGCTGGTAATTTGGATCTCGGCCTTTCTTGTACTGAGCTTTGTCAACATCTACCCATTTGGAGGGTATAATCTGATGTCCCTCAGCAACAAGCTCTTGCACTTGATCCGGAGTCAGTGGCACGACTGCTCCGAAGCTTTCAAACTTTGACCATTCCTGGGCTCGAGAAGCTTGCAGTGCCTTTTGAACCTCAGGTGGCGCTGATTCGAAATGAATGCTTTTCAGGACCTTCTTGCCTTCTTCTACAATCTCATCTTTCCCTGCCATAAAACATGTGAACATGGCTGTGGACTGTTCAACTTGTTCTACGGACCATTGTGCGGCCGCATTTCGGGCTCGCTCAAAGTGGCTCCTCAGGGATGCTGGAAGGTCATTAAGACTGTCATACGGATTGGGCCATGATTGTGGCCCTGCGGCTTGTGATGGTGTTGGCTGTGGTGCTTCAGCAGAAGGTCTGTCTGCTGAGTCAACAGATTCGCGCCTGGAAGGCATAAGCGATGACCCTCTTTCACTCTCAGGTTGGGTTTCAAGACGGGGTCTCACGTTTCTGTCGGCACGAGGGGCAACACTTGATCTCCGTCTGTCCAGACTGGAACTGGCAGCTTCAATCAGTTCATCTGTACCATTTACTTCATCTGACATGTCTTCACCATCAATGGTGATTTCCGGTACAGTTACCCCTGCATTATCCAATTCTTCATCTTCGGGTATTGGTGGTAAATCCTCATTATTATCTCCCCAATTTATGAATGGTAGTTCAGCTCCCTCGCCTGAGGCAATTGGTTCAGGCGCCTCAAGTACGGATGGCTCATATCCGTCACTTTGGGAATCTGGGGAAATTCGAGCATCCAAAAAGGATTGCTGTTCACCTCCGATCACGACCTCATCAGGAATGACAGGCTGCCCATGGAGAACCGAATGCGCCAATGCTTCACTTGGAGTAGCTACCTTCACATTCTGACTGGCCACTAGTACTGGGACATTTCCACAAAGCAACCATAGGTTTCTCTCTCCCTCATGGCCTATCACCCTACTTGTGGGACTCCATCGTGTGCCTCCCCGCTGGTTATCCCTGCGAAAAGTCACCAAGTCCCCGATTTCGAAGTCCCTCGGAAAAGGTGATGTGTTTTTGGTCATGGCTCGCTGGACACGCTTGGAGCAATCGAGGTATACAAATGCTTTCTGTGCTTCCTGCCTAGCAAGATGCTGCAAAGCAAAAATGCTTTCGGGGTTGTGCTGGGCCTCCAAGGCTCCGAGCTCTGCAAATCGCTCTTCGGACAATGGACTGGGGTCTGAGCGTGGTGCCTTACCCAACACCCACTGTGATGGTGAAAAGCCTCCTACACGTGATGCATTATTCTTCACCATGAGCACTTCTTGCAGAACTGACTCAACCTGTTCTCTGCCAAGAGGTTGAGTTTCTTTTGAGACCTTTCGGAAAAGAGCTTTGGCAATGGCCCCGTGGCGCTCTACACGGCCAAGGTTTTCAGGTGCCTCAAGTGGGCTGTGATAAACCTGAATGCCATGATCGTCCATGTACTTTGACAGTACACCACGGTTATGCAACCCTCGGTCACACATCAAGTTCACTGGGTGTCCACTCCATGAAAACCAACGTTTCTGCAGGGCCTTCAGACATTCACTGGATGATGGCTGTCCCTGGCCTGTTCTGACAACCTCGCACAGTTGAAATGTCGTCCCAAGATCTACCATGTTCAAAACTTGAAACTTGGAACCACCTGCATCAATGATCTCAAAAACATCAATTCCCAAGCTATGGTTGAAAGAGTAGTTGTGGGGCAATGCAGTTTTGTGTGTGGGTTTCTTTCGGGATGTTTCTTCACATGCTGTGCACCTATGAAGTTTTACTGCATCAATGAACTCTGTTCGAACCCTGGCAGCACGAAGCAAGTGGATCATGGTCTGCCTCGGCACATGACCAAACTGACGGTGAAGTCGCCTGACAGCGATCCTCACTCTGGCTGGAAGCTTTCTCCACTGCCTGCGTCTCTCCACCTCATCTTGTGGAAGTCCTGGAATCTCGACTTCGTCAATGAGGGTTTCCTCAGAAATCAGTTCCTCAACAGGGTTCACCTGGGCTCTGTCATCGGAGTCCCAGAGGGCGTCAAGTCGTTGATGCTCTTCATGTGCTTCTTCATGCATGTCCCCCACAAACGCTATCCCCATTTGATGGTTCAAATCATCTTCCTTGGCCCAACTCCCAATCCAATCTGCAAACTTCCAAGACAAGACATCGTCCATCGTCTGTCCACGAAACCAAGATTCAAACTCATGGGTCCACTGTTCGTCATTGCATGTGAATGCCAAACCATGGTCATTGATATATGGTGTTTGGGGGTGTTGATGTTTCTCCCATCGATCAGTCATGGCAACATCTATGTGCAGAAACTTGCAATTGTCCAAGTCGCACATCAACTCCACTTCTGCCAGAAAACGACCATGTCCCAATGGATCATTTGGGTTGTTGTATCCAATGGCAATGACAATGTTTTGATACCCCGCCAACAGATTACAAAAATCTTTGGGGTCAAATTCAGGGTCAAGATGACTGGCCCCCACACCAACGTCGATCACGTCGACCGAAGGCTGGCCAGACTCCTGGACGAACACGAACGGATGGGAAGTGAAAACAACTGTCTTGCTATCTCGATTGGGATTGGAAATCAAACCAAGTCCACTCTGGATCATCATGTCGTTCTTGTTCAAATTGGCAATACCGTCCAACACTGCTTTACGGTGTTTCCTACCCATGGTGACTCTCTCATTGGGTTGGATGGCAATTGGACCATGTTCATGCACTTCAACATCGGTGTCAGAGTCCAGAACAACTTCATGCATGTTGGGACCATCTGGATCTCTGGCCATGAGTCCAACTGGCAGTACATCACCGGGTTCGGTTTTGATGATCACTTCATCCTTGGGGGTTTTCTCATGACAAGGCTTTCCATTGGAGGATTTGCTTTTCACAGGTTTGGCAACAGGGCTCTCATCGGATGAACTTGTGCTATAGTCGGTTGACTCATCTTTCGGGGTCTGAATCTTGGGGTTTCCCTTGAACATGTCATCATCTGTACAAATCATAAACCGACTTGGCTGTGGTGGAGTTGGAGGATTCTTTCGACTCTGCAAATGGACTTTTGTTTTGGGGACATATTTCTGGCTCTTTTGGGGCTCCGTTTTTGGTGCGTTTTGGGGCTCCGTTTTTGGTGCGTTTTGGGGCTCCGTTTTTGGTGCGATACTGCCCTCAAAACCCTGATCACCTGACAACAAAACCACGCGCCCCGTATATGCTCGCGGGCGCACGTCTCGATGTGAGAAGATCACCAAATCGGCCCAAGTAGTCGGGAGATCGACGTTCTCTCCAACAGCTTCTTCCCGTTGAAGTCTGTTCCACAATGTTCCTGCGGAATCACGTGGTCGATAGAATGACGATTTCACCCAACCCTGTCGATTCATCCATTTGCCACCTGAAATCAAAGTGCTCCTCACGTGGGATCTGAGCTTGATGTCCACCCTGATGCCTTGCTGCTGCTGCTCCTCATGAGGAAGGCTGGGGTCTGTAATCCAGATCACCCGATCTCTGTTTCCCCACAGTTTTGCAGAAGAGATGATCCAAGAAAGGATGTCTTCATCGACATTCCAGCAATATGGGTCTCCGCTGTTGTCGTTCAAGATGTCGCGGAGTTCCCTCTCAAGTCGCTGACGCTGAGACTCATCACATGGGCGTCGAATCGGTGGCCTCGGTGGTGATGGAGGGGTCCTTGGAGAAGGTACCCTTGGAGATGACACACGGCGTCTGCTTCGAGATCGCCGACCACGCCTGCCGCTCGAAGAGGATCTTCTTCTGGTCCTTCCACGATCAGCTCGTTCTCCTTCAAGCACCTGTCTCACAAGACCTGAGAGCTCCTGGACCTGATTAGCAAGAACCTGTACTGCTAAGTCTCGGTCTTGTCCTCCATAATCACGGCCTCGTTCGTCTCCTTCGTGATGTGCTCCTCCACGAGATGAGTCTCCAGCACTACGGCTTGGAGGTGGATATGCTGGAACATACCTGGGTGTCAAAGGCGTTCTCGTCGATGTACCTCCAAAGGATGGTGTCATAGGAGCACGGACTGGAACTGGCACAGTCCTGGATGGTGTCAACGTGGGGATAGATCTCGTCGCCGTTGTAGTAGGCCCTGGTGCCGGTGGCCTAACAGGCTCAGGCGGCCTAGCAACTCCTGATGACCTATCAGGTTCATCCACATCCACAACACGCACGTCAGGAAGATGCCTGTTCATCAAGTTTCCAAGCTCTCTGGTGTCGGCTGTTGCACAAAGACTGCAATGACCTCCACAAGTCATCTCACGCCACTCCGGGCTGTGATAATGGATCAGCAAAGGCTTCCTCCAATCAGTCACGTCCAAGAAGTAGTAGATCAAAGCTGCCAATCCAACACTGCGATGACGACCACTGGTGCAGTACAAGTGGATCACGAGCTTCCCATTCGGGTTAGCCCTCAAGAAATCTGTCACCTGCTCAACGAGGTCATTCATTGCCTCATGAAGTGCAACTCCTCGGATAATGCTAGGATGTCGTCCAGTGCAACCTCGGATCGATCTGTCGCTGTCAGGATCATGGAAATGCCTGCAGTCAATCTGAAGAACCTTAGCACCAGGGAAGCTTGGCTGTCGACCTGTCCAACGAGCACCTGAAGTGACCACAAGGCATCGGGATCTGTCCAGTCCCCTCAGGCAGTTGTTCACGGCACCTTCGATGTGATCTGCGCTTGACGAGCTGTAGCCACTTGGAGACCTCAACATCTCACTGGCCGACGGCGAACCAGGCTCGTCGGATAGGGCGGCAAAGGCAGTTCGAAACTTTCTGTGGCACTTTGGGATCTGTTGTGAAATGTGATTGGACGTTTTTCCTGTCGGATCAATTTGATTTGGGGTGATTGCTAACATCATCAAACCTGTATGAGAACATCTGAAAACTGGCAACTGATTACCATCAATGGATACTGTTCCATCCTTCAAGTCCTTGACAAGTCCAAGATGGGCTTGAGCATGCAGTGACAGCAAGAGTGGTGATGTCCCGGAGCTAAGTTGGTGCGTCTCAAGTACCCCATGAATGGGTGTACACTTGCTGTCCATGAAATTCAGGCTGAAAGGCAATGTACGGGATCCCTCGGTCGAGGTTCCCCCGGTCCCCAATCCAGAGAAGGTTTTCCCCTTGGTGTCATTGAATGGAAACTGGTATCCCAAGTTCTTCAGCTTGGCAGTTACTACCTCAGCCCAATGTTTGGAGTGACAAGTTGAGTTACACCCCTCATCCAACACGACATAGATATTGGGATCACTCATGTCGTACATGTCACGGGTCCCTTGGAACACATGCACCAAGCCATCAGACATCTCAACATCTGGCTCGTCCCCATGAAAACACACTCCGAGACCTGCAAAATCTTCCCCAGGGTTTTCCACATCACCAACCATGGTAAAACTGCTGTCTCCTTCTGCATTGGCGATGGATTGGTGGAGAAGTTCATGCAGCTTGGTCGAAGTGATGGCCTCAGATTCAGAACTGGTAGCGACTAAGGTGGCAAAATCATTGAGGATCATGTCCAGCATGTCGGGGCTAAAGGTCGCATCTTTGGAATCATCAACCAGTTGTTCAATGATGGAAACTCTTTCCAGGGGTGCTTCCAAGACTTTGGTGGAGACTGCTTTTCGGGTCCTTTGGAGCTCCATCGGAGTCTCATCCAGATACGTGCAACACTGCTTACAAAAGGTTCGGTGAACAGACCTTGAAGAACCACGAAAATCCTTGTCTTCATGTGGACACTGGTCATAAGGATATTGGGGGAGTAGTTCTCTCCTGGTAGTAGTTGAATGGCCACAAACCAGACATGTCTCCTTGATGGTGTAACCCGTACTCCCCTGACGAGTGAATTGGGTGCAATTGGCACACTTCTCCTTTGGTGGATTCGGTGGCTTCCTCAAACGTGTGTGTTGCTTTGGAAGAGGTGGTGGTGGCTCCAAACTACTTCTGCGATACACTATGTTCCCCCGATACTCAAAGTTTTGGTTCACCCACTCGGCATACTCTGAGGCTCCTGGACTCTTGGCGTTCTTCTGTGTCCATGCAAAGTAGTCAGGATGATCATGCAAGATCTCCCAAAACGTCTTCCCCTTAAACTGGCCAAACTTGAACTTCGTGTTACTCCCAATAGGTTTTGACGGGTCATTTCGTCCTACCGGAGTTGTGGGAGGTCCCAAACTGGGTGCCTTTGAAAGGGCAGCTGCACTCTTGATGGCCATGTTTGCAACTGGTGTTTTGGGTGATGATGCACTCAAGAAAACTCCCTCATCTGATGAAGATTCCGAGAAGTCTGCAAAGTGCGCTGTTGGCCTAGGAGGATTCGATGGGGGTTTTGAATCCTTGGCATTAGCATTCCCCTTTGCACCTGGGAATTTACAAATGGGGTCACCTGCCCAGTGCCCGTAGGCGCCGCAGCGAAGGCATTTTGACTTGGCCTTAATCTCGGAAAGGCGCTTCCTGCGCTGTTCGATGGACAAGTTGGACCTGATGATTTTCCCTTTTCCTTTGGGCTTGCCTTTACCCTTTCCTTTCACACGTCCGAAGGCTGCGAATGCAGCTAGTTGGAGTTGGAGAGCTTCCCCAAGGCTCTTGTCATCTTCAGTTGATTCATCTCCTACATCCACTAGTGCATTCAGGGCAGTGGCTTCATACTCATCAACTTCGTCGTGAAAGTCAAAGGCTTCATAGGGATTGTCAACATTTGGACTTGATTGTTCTGGATGTTCCTCGATCCCACCAAGCAGACCTACGTATGGTGCATCCTCTTCATAGTATTCCTCTTGGTATTCATCATAGTCACCATAACCATAGCCTTCCTCATCGGGATAGGCATTGTAGGCTGTCTTGTAGGAACCTTTACCACTTTGGGGTCCTTTGGAACTTCCATATCCCTTACCAGACTTCCCATACTGTTGTGGGGTAGATGAACGTCCAACCCAAGACTTGGACCCTTCCCTCAAATGGATTCCTGAATACTGATCAACCAACACCTTAGCAACTCCTTCAAAGTCCTTGGTGGTGGCACATGCTTTTACGACCAGTACCTCTTGCCGGCTCAGACCTGACAATTCAAGCATGAGCTCCATACGGAGTCCATCTGAAAGTGCCATGGAAGGATCAAGCTCGGTCAACACTCTCCACCATCTGCGTCTGCGTTGAGTATAACTCAGCATGGGTTCTTGGGGTTGTCGGGACAAAACTCCACCTGCTTTCTGCCCTGCTCTGAAGAGTTCTTTGGCTTCTTCTTGAGCTCTGGGAAAAACATGGGCCTTGATTCGTTCAACCAATCGTTCAAGACCTTCCTCTTGGGACAGAGTCTCCAAACCGAGATCTCTGGCAATGAGAAAGGCATCACCTCGAAGACCTTCTACGACCTTGTTGACTAAGACACTACGATCTCGACCCGTGTCATCCCCTTTAGGGCTTCGACTGGCAGAGGCTCCGGCTTCGTCATCTGGTCGGCCTGGGCGCGGATGGGGTGAAATCCCAGCATCAGCTTCAGAGTCCGGCCCAACGGGCTCGGCACTCCTTCCGGTTGGGGAGGATTCTACATCTTTCTTTGAATCAAACAGCTTTATTCGCAAAAGGGTCCGGAATTCCCAATCATGATAATGTGCTGCATCCCCATGGTATATGTATGATCCACTCTTGGTCTCTAGGGGCACAGTGGATCGGTCAGAACCAAACCTAAGTCCAGCTACTGACATTTCTATGATTCCTTTGCGATGGACTGCCTATACCCAAGATCAGCCAATTGCAGGTCTGTCCCACAGGGATCAGACAATTTCGGCAGAAAAAGTTCCAAGAACAAATCCGATTCAAACTTCTACTATTTTCAATCCCTGGATCTGACACGTACCCGGAGACAGGTCGTCACCTGCTCCGCTACCAATGTGAATTGGCAACGGTATCGTGCAGTCCAACGCGGCTCTTTTTGCTAGTGGCGATAGCGATGTAGCTCAAGGGCCCTGATAGCCGAAATGGCAACAGACACTACATGTGACAACCTGGCCTTTACATGGAGTATCACATACCACAAATTGACACTAAGCTATCACCTCCAATTGATCTTCTCACTCATAAACTGGAACTGTCACGTCACTGCTCTGTGTTTTGTGTTGTTTTGGTGTGGTTTGTGTTTTTTGTTTGTTCTTGTGTTTTTTGTTTTCTTTTGTTTTTATGGTGTCTTGCCTTGTTTCCTGGATGAGCGTGACAGTGCATAGGACTATGTATCGCTCCTCCTCCAGTTTACTTTTGCGGCCACTACAGCAACGGCCTTTGCGTGAATATCAATTCGTCCCAACTGCAACATGCTCTTAAACATGTTGAACGACCTGGCGGAAGCCACGAAGGCGTCGGACGGAAAAAAGGCAGGTGCGGTATTTACGGCGTGTGTGACACTGATTTTTTTTTCCGTCCAACGCCGTATGGCTTCCGCCAAGTCGTTCAACATGTTTCCAATCATGTTGCATGTGAGATTAATCATACGGCGTGTGTGACACTGAACCTAGGGTGAGCCGTTTAGTACGACAGTTGTGGCACTACACGCCTTTTACCGTGGAAAAAACCAGCAAAACAGATCCAGCGTGCAGCGTGTAGTGGCTCTTTTTTCTAAACTATATTGATCTTTAAAAGAATAATTACAACCGAACGCCAGGAAACGGCGAAAATGTGTCTCCGGCCACAGCGCGGAGCGTTTACGTTTAGTGGGCTTCAACCTGCTGGAGGCATGGGTGTGGATCCAAATGGAGAAGTGGAACATCCTGTGGGCAGATGATGAGACTTGGCTCCCACCGGACGAAAATGTGCTATTAAGAGAACGCCTTCCTCATGGCTTCCATAAAGTCATTACCCATGATACAGATGAGGAGTACCTTCAGGATTGGGTTGAGGTAGCTGGCAAAGGCTTTTATCCCTTCGCAGCTGAAACCCGACACTATGGCTATGCGTGCTGGGCAAACTCGCGCCGCTTTGCCATTGTAGCGCGAAGTGCACAACAATGCACTATCATTGCAGAAGTTATGCACGCTTACAATTTGTTGGTTAACCGCATCGAGGTATATGCCCCCCAGGTCGATGGTATTGCTCTCACAGATTGCACAAGAATTAACCGGGCGATTCACGAGGATGATCGCTCCAGTTTTGATTTCCGGCAATCCCAAACCTGCCACGATGCAATTGCAGGGAAATTCCCCAACAATGCCAGTCCGTGAAAGGATCACCCTTTTGCAGAAGCAGCACAATGACGCGATCCATGAAGCAAACAGAGCCAATTATCAGGTACAGCAGAGTTGGCAGATGCTCAGTGAAGCCTATGCGGCGCTGTTTGCGGGGTAACCTGCACCACTATAGCCACTGACTCTGCCCTGTGATGGTGATGGAGACGCTAGAGTGATCTTCCTGAAAAGGTAGGGCAGCTGTTGGCATCATTAGGATAGTTACCAGGGGTGTTTGGATTTCCGTACTCACAATCTGGTCAAGACTAGCCATGTTCAAACTTGTGCCCATGCCCTTGTGTGCCCATGTCTGTTTTGTCGGTTTCGGCTGATTAAGTGAGACAGTAGCCTGGGTGTTAGTAACCAATAGAGGGAGCTGAAGTTATCATTACAAGGGAGGCCCCCACCGCGTCTCCAAAAAGTCTGCCGATTTCAGGTGCCGAAAACGAACCCTCTGGACATATGAGATGCTGCTCCTATACTGTCGAGGTAGGTCCCTTTCA